TAAATTTCTTTTGTTTATAAGCCACCCAGTCTATGGTACGTGTTATAGCAGCCCAAATGGGCAAAGGCACCACCCACGCTCAAAAGCAACAACATTATTATTATTATCATCATCATCATCATTATTACTTTTAGTAGACTGTGTCCAACCTGGGGCTTGAACTCATGACTCCAAGATCAAGTCACAGGCTCCTACAACTGGGCCAGCCAGGTCCCCCCTAAAAGCTCTGCATTAGTTGAAGTTCAGTTCAAATCAGTTCAAGTTTAACATTACAGAATTCAAGAAAAATTATATTAAAAGGACTAAAAAAAAAGTGCGGTCCACCAAAAACCAAGAAAATTAGAAGCACTTGGAGAACAAAAGACATCAGCTGCTGGAAGTAACCAACAATGCTTCTCCCCTCAAATTACTTACAAATCACTTTCAAGCCATGGATGATAAATGCTATTTTCAACAATTTTTTTTCAAGGAAAAAAAAAACTTATTGGGGCGCCTGGGTGGCTCAGTTGGTTAAGCGTCCAACTTGGGCTCAGGTCATGATCTCACAGTTTGTGGTTCGAGCCCCGCGTCAGGCTGTGTGCTGACAGCTCAGAACCTAGAGCCTGTCTTCAGATTCTGTGTCTCCCTCTCTCTCTGACCCTCCCCTGCTCATGCTATCTCCTCTCTCTCTCTCTCTCTCTCAAAAATAAATAAAACATTAAAAAAAATTTTTTAACTTATTATAAAATTGAGGGGGTGTTTACAGTTTGGGAATCCTGATAAGGTTGTACTGTAGAAACGAAATTTACTAAGAAAGTAGAACTTATGTACTCTCAACAATAACAGTAATTACGTGAGGTTAACGGATGTGTTCATTACCTCAGTGGTGGGATGGTGAGAATCCTTTCACAACTTATATTCTATCAAATCATGTTGTACACCTTAATTTCTATTTGTCAATGATACCTTAATAAAACTGAAAAAAACTTTGAATCATTTTAAAAACAAAAAGAGTTTTTCAAGGAGGATTTATGTAAGAGTTCATCTTAGATACAACATGGGCATCCTACTGGAATTTCAGAAACCAAGATGCAGTGTCAGTGAGGGGTACTTCTGACCCAGTCACATCTAATGTACCAACCAATTAAGACCCACAGCCAATCTCACATTAACAGTAATGTTGGCGTAAGATTACTTGCTTCAACTTACATTTATCAGGTCCCTGACTCTGTATCATACAAGGCTGATGTTAAAAGATACAAGTATTTCCCTATATACTTAAGATGATTTATGAAGAAGCACTACTGCTTTTCACTGTCTTCCCAATCTTCTTAGACGTTTTCCTCACCAGCCCAAATGGAATAAAAATTACAATTCTTGGTAACCGAGCGTCTCTACCTTCTGTTTTTCTAGTTTATTAGGAAGTTTCTGATAGAAGCATCAAAATTGACTCATAATACTCCCTCAGAAACCTCAGGATGATTAGGAGGGAACTTCATTTAAAAGTTAATGGTAAACTGTACACTTCAACTGTGTGAGACTGCATATCTCAATAATGCCTTTAAAAAAAAAACTTAATGGTATTTCCATCTTGCTGTCATACTGGTTTCATTAATTTAGTCAAATACAACAAGGGAAAAATGAGCACCTCAATGTTTATTACATTACTGCTCAGAGCACAACAGCCTCGCTGAAACAAAAATATTAATCCAGTTCATATTTGCAGCAGCAATTTTGAGGACTAAATTTATAATCAAACCTTGTGATGTGTTTTTCCCTGAAAATCTTTTGCTAATCAAATGTCAACTTATACCAGTAGTTTGAGTCACAATCCCATTTTGCTCTCTCAGAGAAAAGAAAGATCTCTACCTCCCCCAGCACAGAAAACGACCAAGGGATATAACAAAAGTTTCCCTAACAAACATTACTCAAAAAAACCAAAAGACCAACCACAGCAGAAATGCTTACTTAAATAAACAACAGAGATAGCAGCAGAGAACAAACAGCTAAAAGCTATTGTGTGGGGGTCAACACACCACCAACAGCTTTCAGTTTATATAAACCCAGGTTCTTAAATCTTGGAAAGGGCTCAACCTGCAAACTGCATGCCAAAGACTTCCTGCTTATCAAGATGAGGTTACCTCTAAAACAAGAAGCAAATTTCTACATAACGTTAGTATGAATACAAATATATTAGGTTTTATTTCTTTTTAACAGAAAATTATTTTCTATTTAAATGCTATTGACATAATAGCTGACATAAAAGATGTGCAACTATTGTCTCAAAGCTGAAGTGCCCTTCCATGGGGACAAACACATCAATTTTTTTTCTTGTCGATGAAAGACTTTGATCTAAGTTGCAGAAAATCACTTCATAACTAACCTTGTAAAGTGGTGCTTAATAAACAAATCCAGAAAGTGTTTTTCAAAATGGCACACAGAAAAACGTTTTACCACACTTCTCTCGTATTTCTTCTACTTAAATTTACTATGATTAATCTTTTTTAAACTCACAATGCATTATTATAACAGTAATACAAGTAAATTCTTAAGTGACTAAGAATCAGTAAAATTCCTTCCATGAAAGAATGAAATTGGTGCATAATTTTGATGCAAAATTAATGGTCTTCATTTCATTTGAGATAGAACATGGAAAAGGGTCACCTTAAATGTTAGGAAATAGCTTTTAAAAATAAAAAGATTTTTCTATTTTAATTTCAGGAGGGAAATGGGCGAAATGATGTCATATGCTTAATTTTGACTTTAATTAACGATAATAAAAGTTTTCAAGTGTGCTCTCCCGGGGGAAACACTGTAATAGTAGTTACTGGCTATTTCATTTACGTTTTAGTTTTACCATTTCACTCACAACTAAAGTAGGAATTAAAAAGAAAATGCCAAGTATGTACAGAATAATAATACACACATATCCATTGCTGTTCGTACATTATTCCATTTATAAATACACATATGTGTTTAATTTAGTACATACCACAAGGAGATAGGTGCTTAACACATGCATTTAATGGTAGCCTGGTAGTTACAGATAATGTGGTTAACTTCAGCAGACAACATCTGTGTTACACATATGGCCATCAAAATAATTGTGGCATGCTTTTGTGACACTGAAAGAGGCCAAGCCTGTTGCAAAATGATTACTTCCAACAAAAGCCTGCTTAAATTATTGTTTAGTTAAATGGCATAGATCCAAAATAACAGCATTATAAAGTTTCTATTGCCTTTGAATCACTCACCAATTTTCAACATATTTGTAAAACAAGATAAGCACCATCAGGTTATAAAAAATAATTATGGATCAGGATTTTTTTATTCATGTTTCTTTGACAAAATTATTCCATTTGATCCCAAGTCTTGGCTGCTGTCTTGACAGAATAATGTACACGTTCCACAGCTGACAGGGATATGGCTTTCATGATTAAATAGGAAGCTCACACTCCAGATGACTTTATAGACTTTGCACTTCAGAAAGATTTCTTTGTTGTTTTAGTATCAGATCATCTGTTATCTTTTTCTAATGGTTTCTTTCCCTAAGCCAAAGAGAATCTATGTATTATCAAAAATGTATGATATTTTTTAATTTTTACCTATTTGCACAGTACAAAGAATGTTAAATCATCTTGAAAAGTTCTTTTCCTGATTTCATGGGGGGGGGGGGCGGAACGTAAAGAAAAGGTGAAAATATAAAATATGAAACACCTTTTTCCAAGAGTCTTTTCCTGGCTTTTAAAGGAAACACCTAACGAGGACATGATTGACTTAGGCTTTTTATAATACTGGGAAACAATGCTCAAAACCTTTCCTAAAGGAAGGGTTAACTTTATCTTGCAGCTTTAAATGATAATTTTTGCCCCCCATCTCCTGCAGAAGAATGACACCTGTGAAACTAGAATTCTGTGCAGCAACAGTAACTCTGGTGTGCATAAAGCTATGTAAAAACTGATTCACACAAGGAAATGCCCAGGGCCTACGCCATGAGGATTAACTTCTGACATACAAGACTAGAAGAGGGCACCGGTAGCTTGAACTTCTTTCTCAGACCTCCCGGATTACCGGCATGGAAGGTGGGGGACAATAGTGGGGGAGGGGAGGGCGGTAGCCTCTGACCAGGCTCAGCTGCTAACGTTATTTAAAAAGCTCCCATGATTTAAATATGGAGAAAGATAAACAAAACAAAACGTTCTGAATTCCGATCACCTTTGGGTAGCTACGTGGTTGCAAGAGCAAAACAAGCGCGCAGGCGCGTCGGTCAGGTTGTCAACCATAAACATAAGAACTCTTCAAAATTAAGGAAGTGGATCTCTGCAATTCCCCACAGCCTTTTTTTGGGGGGGAGGGGGGGTGGCGGGGATTCTCTAGGTTAATAGTAGTGATTGCATTGTAATGACCTACAGACAGACGCAAAGTTATTTACCGAGTCGCTTTGAGAGATGTTTACTTAAATGTGAGGATAAAACCAGTTCGCTTGTGGAACTGGAAATTATCTTCCGTCCAAACGTAGCATTACTCAACTACAAACCTAGGCAACACAATCCCAGCCACCCAGTAAATGTGTTTCTGCGAGTGAACCAGATTGCTTCCCCAATGACACTAACAGAAAAAAGCCTCAACAAAGCCACGGGAAATCGTGCCTTCGACACTGTACGCAGCCTGTATATTCAGGTCTGCGCCTCTTTGGAGCTGCGGGGGCCTTACACGCTTAGGGGAAGAAACCGGTGCTGGGAAGAGTTCTGGTCTCAGTTGCAGGGCTGTGAGTTGCAGCTGAGAGCCGACGAGCGGACTGCCCTTTGAGACGTGCAACTTACTTCCCTTTACGAAGGGACCCGAAATGAATCCACCCCGACACGTCCACGCGCAATCTGAGCGCAGGGCAGCTGCGGCTGCCTCCCACCGCGCAGAGAGCAGCCGCCGGCCGAGACCCGTGACAGCCCTCAGACAAAGCCTCGGACCCCTGAGCCCGCCCGGCTGCCGACGCCCGGAACACGCCCCCGCCCCGCGCCTACCTTGATGCCCTGCTGCTGGGTGGTGAGGGTTAACTTGGATTCATTCAGAAGCAAAACTTCGCAGTAAAATTCTTCCGGAACAGCGCAGAAGCAGCCCATGTCGGCTGTGGCCGTCTCCAGCCAGGAGAGAAAGCTGCGACCCAGGCGCCGAGCCGCCCCCTCCCCTCAAGCGCGAGGCATTAATGTATTGTCCGCGCCGTGGCCAGGGCGAGGGGACCGGTGCCCGGCGAGGTCCAGGGCCGCGAGGACGAGCCGCCCGGCGCAGGCTGGAGGCAAGAAGGGCGGAGAAGCCCGGGAGTCAGCGCCCGGGAGCCGCCGGGGAAGCGCCGGCGGAACTGAGCGCTGAGGGCGGCGGCGCGTCCCCGCGCATCCTGCGGCTCCGGCTCCTCCGAAGGCGGGGGCGCCGCGGCCCCTCCCGCAGTCCTGGGGACGACAAAAGTCGCCTGGCAATGGGGGCAAGAAGCGGGAAACGGGGGTATGCGAGCTCGAGGCCCTCCCCAGACGAGGAAACCCCTGGGAGCTGCGCAGCCCCCTCCGCCTGCGCCCGGCCGGAGTGCAACCGCGACTCCCGGCCTCCTTCCCCTGCGGGGTGCCCTGAGGGCTCCCACTTCCAGCTCCGACCGCACCCCGCAGCCCCCAGTCTGGCCCGCCGATTGGGGAACCCTCGGCTGTTCCTTTGTGTCAGGGGTACCCGCGACGTCCCAGTCCCACTGCAGGGCCAGTGGCGAGGGTCGTCACTCAGTCTGCCTCGGCCACCCCAAGCCTCGGGCACGCAGAACCCCGACGAGTGTCGGAAAGGGCAGCGGGCTCCTTACCAAGAAGACCGGCGAGTGCAAGTCAGCTCGTGGCGGGACGCGGCTCCCGTCCGGGGACCGCGGAACTCATCACGGGGGGTTGTGTGTGGCCAAGTTGAAGCCGGTCCTGCGAGAACGTCTTGCTGTGGCGGCGGAGTGCCGCTCTTCCGGGATTTCCAGAGAAGTGGGGAGTCAGAGGGCTCGCGGGCGCGCCGGCGGTCGGGGAAGCGGGCGCCCAGGCTGGGAAAGCGCCGGCGGGCTGGCGGGGGTGTGCCCTGGGCGCGCAGGCCGCGGCGGCTCCCGGGAAAGTTCTCTTCGCTGCGCGAGGGGTGGCGCCCTGGGCGGGAGCAGCCCAGGTGCAGCTGGGCCGGGACCGGGTGTCTGCGGAGAGCCCTGGAGCGGACCGGGGGCCCAGCGGCCGGGAAGGGGCGCCCCTTCCGGGCGGCGTCTCATCTAAGAGCGGAAGGCGGAGCAGAGGTGGTCCAACGGCGAGGTGAGGGCAGGTCCGCACGGAAACCGACGCGCAGCATCCGGGCCGCCCTGCTTCTCGGAGCCCTGATCCTGATTGCTGTGGCTGTTTCCCGGGGAGACCGGAGGTTGGCTCTAGGAAGGCCGGGCGCAGTTCTGCTCGGACCCTGGCGTTCGGCGCTCCGAGTCCCACGCCCTCCGCACGGCGGGCCGTGTCCGGGACTGGCGGGCACAATAGCTCTGAGGCTGCAGTGACCCCTGGTGGGTCCTCGAGTCCGTGCACGAGCAGCCGAGGCTGAGCGCCGGGATGAGGCCGGGCCCCGCTGGACTTCGGGAGCAGGTGCAGTCTGTGCTCTCCAGCGGGAAACCAGCAGCGAGTTAATGCGAGTGGAGAAGACGTGGCCCAGGTTTGACGGTAGGCCTCCCAGAAAACTTCCCTACCTTATATTGAGCGTTAGAAAGAGCAACAGCTTTGGCATCAGACATAGTTTTGAGTTCTCTCCTCTGCCGCTTATAAACTAGGTGGTCAAAACTCAAAATTGCTTAAAACCTAGGACTTCAGTAACTTAAAAAAATTTAAAGAAAAAAATCAGTAGATGGAAATGAACAATTTGCAACTTTGGAAGGAGTTTCCTTCCGCAGGGATTTACCAGAAAGGACCCTCTAAGGCTTCTCCGTTCCTGTTATCTCAGCCCCTTCTAAACATGAATTAGCACAAGCCCCAAAGTGCAATAGATATAACCCTCATGTTTAGTATGAACTTTATATAAAGCTAAGAACCAAACCCTGTTGTATCTTACAAGCCTTCTGTGAAATTGAATTCCTAATCAAATTCTGTGTCCAACTTTGGGTTGTACTGTCAATGTTATGCCTGACATGAGCTGACCCATTATTTCGAATTTTAGCGTCTTTACTTCAGGAGGCTTTTCTGTAACAGAACGTTCCTGACATAAGTTACCAAATGTAATTGAAAGGCTTCATAACAGACTTTCATTCTTTACCACAATATCCAACAGGGTCACCTGTGCTTGCAAAAGCAAAAGATAAAGCTCAAGTGTAATGACTTGTTTTCCAGTTTTGAGTTACGTCCTTTGAATTTGTTTTGTTCTGGTTTTGTTTTACCTCCAATGGTAATGGAAAGGCTAGGGGCTTGAGGTGGGGGCAAGGATTCTGTTCCAGGCCTCTCACAAGGGAAAGTACAAAGCTGTGAAGTCTTATACATATGACAGCCCTTTCGGAGTGAAGCATTTTCTTTTCCATTTCTTTGTGAAAGATTGGAGAAAAGAAAAACAATCTATTTAACACAAAGTTGGAGTGTCCTAGACATAATAGAAGATACCACATGTTGTTTTCTTTTTTAAAATCGCCTTATTGAGGGGCGCCTGGGTGGCTTAGTCGGTTAAGCGTCCGACTTTCGCTTAAGTCATGATCTCGCGGTTTGTGAGTTCGAGCCCCGCGTCGGGCCCTGTGCTGACTGCCAGCTCAGAGCCTGGAGCCTATTTCGGAGTCTGTGTCTCCCTCTCTCTCTGACCCTCCCCTGCTCACGCTGTCTCTCTCTCTCTCTCTCTCTCTCTCCTAGAAATAAAATAAAACATTAAAAAAATAAATAAAACAGCCTTATTGAGCTGTAATTGGCATACAGTAAACTGCATATATTTAAAGTTTACAGTTTGATAAGTTTGACATGTGTATACATGAAACTACTGCTACAATTAAGCTAGCAAACATATTCATCACCCCTAAAGTTTCCTCGTGTACCTTTATAATTTTTTTCTCTCATTCCTCACCACATCTCGCCTCCCAGGCAACCACAGATCTGCTTTCTGTCACGTTAGCTTATCTGCATTTTCTAGACTTTTCTATGAATAGGATAATAGTGTCAACGTTTTTTTAAATCTGGTCTGTTTCATTCAGCATAATTGAGATTTATCCATGTTGTTGTATTATACCAGCAGTTCATTTGTATTGCTCAGTAGTATTCCTTAGCATGTGTATACCACAATTTGTTTATCCGTTCATTTGTGCGGTTTTCAGTTTTTTACTATTACAAATAATACAAATATGACAAATCCTGCTGCTATAAGGATTGTACCTGTCAGCTCAGGCCACCATAACAAACTGCCACCACAGATTGGGTGGCTTAGACACCAGACACTTTCTTATAGTTCTGGAAGCTGGTAGTCCAAGATGAGGTGCTGGCATGGTTGCTTACTGGTAAAATCTTTCTTCCTGGCTTATAGATGCCTGTCATCCCACTGGGTGATCACATGACCTCCTCTTTGTTGGGAGGCCTGGGAGTTAGCACAAGCCTACAGTGTCTCTTCTTATAAAGACACTAAACCTATCATATTAAGGCCTCACCCTTATGACCTCTTTTAACCTTATTACTTCATTATAGGCCCTGTGTCCAAATACAGTCACATTGGGGGTTAGAGCTTCAATATAAATATTTGGAGAGGACATAGTTCATACCATACCAAGGATCTCTGTCTTCGTATAGACATGTGGTTTTATTTCTCTTGAAATAAAAAAGAGTAGACTAGTTGGATCGTAAGATCTACAAATAGCAAATGAGCACATGAAAAGATGTTCAACATCATTAGTCATTAGGGAGATGCAAATTAAAATTACCGTAAGACACCACTACAGGCCTTATAGAATGGCTACCATACCACCATTCCAATGTCAGTAAGGATGCAAAACAGTTTGAATTCTCATACACTGCTGGTACAGATGTAAGACGGTACAATCACTCTGGATAATGCTTTGACAGTTTTTTAAACAGTTGCACATATACCTTCCACAGGATTTTAGAGGAGGACTTTCTCTGCCTAGCCAGAGAAACAAATTAACAAGATACTATTCAAACACATTTTCCCCCAGGAAAATAGTGTAGTTTTCAACATGTGCATAACATAATACAGTTTATTGAAAGCCTTTGATCTCTTTTCAGAGATTTTTTAAGAAAAATACTTTCTTTGGTCAAGATGACATTTTGTCATAATAAGCCTATGTAGATGAGCCAAATGACAAACAAGTTCATAGTAGATATAATATTATGGAAATATGTAGACCATCTGTGAAGGACTGCAGGAACTTCCATCCTAGAAGAAGCAATTTCACTCTACATGGAGCATGCCTCTACCCCTTGCTGAAACATGCACTTCAAAATGCCAGACAGAATTCTTTTAAAAGCGCTATATTCCTTTTAGGAAGGTGTCTTTAAACAATCCATGTCTTTCTTCATCTTTTTGACTTTTACATTTTCCAAACTTCAGAAAGTTAACTGTGATATGCAAAAGGAAAAAACACCTTAAAAACATTGACAGTAAATAATTTACTAACTTAACTACCCAAAAACAGTGCAGCAGAATCACCAGGAAGGCTTGTTATAAATATAGATTGCTGGCTCCACCCCCAGAGTTTCAGATCTGGTACGTCTGAAGTAGGTCCTAAAATTTTGCATTTTTAACAGATTCTCAGGTGATGCTTATGGTGCTGGTTGAGAACCACCGCTTTAGAGCTTATCTCTCCAATAGATAATCATAGTTGGTCCTAATTACCTATAAATAATTTTTTCAAGGGGATAGCTTACTCTATACCTCCCTATTAATCTATCCCATCCATCAAATAATGCCTGTCAAAGAAAAGAGTATTGAAGACCCTGCCAAGTGGTTACATCAGAAAGAGTAGTTTTTAAGGAAGATAAATATCCCTGTTTTCGTTTTGACATACTACTGCCTATTCTATTTAAACACCTTACTCATTTTTCTTTCTAATATAGAATGTGCTCAGGCACATCCCGTTTTTAAGACCATCCTGCTTTCTGACTCACTTCATATGTATGTCACTAACCAGCTATTCTCTTCTACTAAAGCCTTAGATCCTATTTACTGAAATGCCTCAAGGGTGTTACCCACATTTCAAGAGAAGTCATCTCCTAAGACAACAATCTAAGCTGTTTCTTCATCTTTGTGATCTCCATATAAATGTTCTTTGGGGGTTACTGAAAATCCTTACTTTGCAGTTTTTAATCCTTGTTGGTAAATGCATTGATATGACTTTTATTTAGTTTAAATGGTTTGGAACTTTCACTCTGAAAATACCCTAGTTTCCCTTTCATTGCTCATATGTATACTATCAAAAAAAATGCTAGTGGGAGAGCTGGTTGATAAGTCTAGTCCCATTGGGGACTTTTTTTTTTTTTTTGAGTCTTTTAGACAACTGATTAACATCTTTGTCTATTGGATTGAGAGAGATCCCAAGATGGCCAAGAGTGGGGGTAAAAAGGGTACTTTGGTACATTGTTGGTGTAGTTGTAAATTGACTCAGGCTCTCTGGAGTGCAATCTGTCATAAGCATAGTACTTTAAACATGTGTACGCTTTGAACCAGAAATTCGGCATCTAGGAATTTATCCTCATCAAAAAGCAGACACAGATATATGTAGAAAGGTATTTACTATAGCATGTTTATAATATTAAAGCTCTTTCAACAATCCACATGCTCAATAATAGGGAGTTGTTACATTTAATTCTAGTGTATGTGTCTAATAGAGTTCCCAGCAGCTGTTAGAAAAGATGAAATGGATGTATATAAACTGACATGGAAAATTATCCAAGGTACACAGTGAGACCAAAAAAAAAAAAAAGAAGAAAGAACAGCTTATATAATAGTGCATATAGAAAGGTCCATTTCTGTTTGCTTTTAAAAGAAAGTTTGGATTTTTTTATAGTGACCATGAATTAATTTAAATGAAAATAGATTTTATATTAAATAAAAGAAGGGTCTCATTGAACGCGGCGCTAGCTTTCCAGGTAGCTGATTTCTTCCCGAGCCGGGCCGGGCCCACCCAGAAGCAACTATGTCTAAGGGACCTGCAGTTGGCATCGATCTTGGCACCACCTACTCCTGTGTGGGAGTCTTCCAGCATTGGAAGGTGGAAATAATTGCCATCGATCAGGGAAACCAGACCACCCCAAGTTATGTTGCCTTTACTGACACCGAACGATTGATCGGTGATGCTGCAAAGAATCAAGTTGCAATGAATCCCACCAACACAGTTTTCGATGCCAAACGCCTGATTGGACGCAGATTCGACGATGCTGTTGTCCAATCTGATATGAAGCATTGGCTTTTCATGGTGGTGAATGATGCTGGCAGGCCCAATGTCCAAGTAGAATACAAGGGAGAGACCAAAAGTTTCTATCCAGAGGAGGTGTCTTCTATGGTCTTGACAAAGATGAAGGAAATTGCAGAGGCTTACCTTGGCAAGACTGTTACCAAAGCTGTAGTCACAGTACCTGACCTGCCTATTTTAATGACTCTCAGCGTCAGGCTACCAACGATGCTGGAACTATTGCTGGTCTTAATGTGCTTAGGATCATCAACGAGCCAACTGCTGCTGCTATCGCTTATGGCTTAGACAAAAAGGTTGGAGCTGAAAGGAATGTGCTGATTTTTGACTTGGGAGGTGGCACTTTTGATGTGTCAATCCTCACTATTGAAGATGGGATCTTTGAGGTCAAATCTACAGCTGGGGACACCCACTTAGGGGGAGAAGACTTTGACAACCGAATAGTACACCATTTTATTGCAGAGTTCAAGTGCAAACATAAGAAGGACATCAGCGAGAACAAGAGGGCAGTCCGTCGCCTCCGTACTGCTCGTGAGCGCGCCAAGCGCACACTTTCTTCCAGCACCCAGGCCAGTATTGAGATTGATTCTCTATATGAAGGAATTGACTTCTATACCTCTATTACTCGTGCCCGGTTTGAAGAGTTGAATGCTGACCTGTTTCGTGGCACCCTGGACCCTGTAGAGAAAGCCCTTCAGCATGCCAAGCTAGACAAGTCTCAGATCCACGATATTGTCCTGATGGGTGGTTCTAC